AGACTAAATAGCACTTGGGTTCCTCTTGCTGAGAAAATGCTACCTACAAAACCAGATCTAAGAGCTAACTCTTCTTGAACAAGAAATATAAACCTGCACAGATACAGCAATTAAAAATTGCATTTTAAAATCAGCTGATTTACCTTGGATATCTACCTGTAAATGGAAATTTCCTCAGGCAGCTCCAGGGTGGATCACTGTACTATGAATTCTGTTCTTACCAGCTTCTATATGATCTAGACCACTAGAAAGTAATCCTTTGAGAATTCACAAAAAAAGACTCTCCCATTAAGGTTCTTATCAGCAACCATCAGGCATGTTCCTGGGTTCTCTAGGCCTAGCTCCCACTGGCAATCTTACTGATAGGAATGTACTATTTAAAATAATTAACAGCTGGCACAGGGCACAGGCCTATCAGAGGAGACACTGACTGTAAAAGCAGCTCATGCACACTGGTGTCTGCCAGCTCATTTCAGTCAATCCAGGGCAGCGGCTCTGCTGGGTGGCTCCTTGGCCGGCCTTTGATCCATGTTTTCCAGGACCTGCCACCACAGGTTCCCACCAGTGTGTGTCTGCTGCTACTGTGATAGCCAAGTGGTGGTCTGTGCCAAGTGGCAACCTCTCTGCCCTTCTTGGCGACATGATCTTAAAGGGGAACTAGAGCTCTTTAAGATCAGGGTGAGCCAGTGCACTCTCCCTCCTGAGATCACACATGTACCTTTTCCCACTCTTCCCCCTTTCCTCTCCCTCCTCCACATGCATCTTCTACACACTAAGGAGGCTTACAACCAGGGCAGCAATGGGCAGTGGCAGTTCAACCCAGAAGCCATGGGCCAAGTGGACCCCATACCCAATGGATTGGTGGACTGCAGTTGGGAACGCAAGCTATGCTAGCCTGAGGCTGGACCGGATTGTGCAAACATGGACCCAAAACTATGGGCAAGGGCTTTAATCCAGCTCTGCTAAGGACACAGCTGGATTTTTTTTTTCCTGGCTGGATGGAGGGAGAGGGGACCTCAGGAACTTAGGTATTTAATTCCATGCAAATAAATGCCACTCATTCTAAAAAAAAAAAAAAAAAAAAAAAAAAAAAAAAAAAAAAAGAAGGAAGGAAAGAAGGAAGGGAAAGGAAAGGAAAAGAAAGACCTGGGTGAACTGAAACAGCTCTCACCATGTTGTGTAGGGTCTTCTCCCTTCCTAGATCTTAGAGAAGCCAGTTTCCCAGGCCTTGCAGTTATCAAAAGCTTCTAGCTTAGAGCTTTGATGTGATTTCCAAGTGAGGTTAAATGTACAGTGACAGAGAGATAAGTGCCTGAAGTGGAAGGGGAGATGGTTATCTGTAAATCTGGTTGTATTTCCACACAAGAGTGCCTGTACGTCCTCATAAATTCAGATGTCCATAAATCCTGTCCCATCCTTGGGAATGTCTAGCTACACACAACAATCTGCTGTTATTGTGAACACACATTTATTTGTTCAATATAGGTTTTTAAAACACAATAGTTGTTTTTTTTTTGTAGATGCTCTTTATTGATTAAGAAACTTCCACTTTTTGCCTTTTTTTTTTTTTTTTCACTGAGAGATTTTTAAATTACATTCATTGCGGTGACATTGGTTGGCGTGTTCATATAGGTTTCAGGGGTGGGTTTCTATGTTACAAGATCTGCATTTTGCACCATGAAAAACATAATAATTTTTGACATGGGTTTTGTCACCTCACTTTTTAATTTATGCGAAAATTAGGAGTGGCCCCGACCTGGGTTCCCAAAGTGACTGACCTATTGATAGTCTTGCTTCTCTCACACTTAAAGCTTTGTTATTAGGTCAAGCTGGTTGGCCTGACTCTCTTCCTGGGGGATAAGTTTGTCCCCCAAAGTTTCCCCAGTCTCTCTTACAAGTAGACTTTCCCTGGGGCTGCCCAAGGAAGCCTGAGAAAGCTGAGCCTGACTGAATTTAAGACACCAGTTAAGCTAAGTCTGGGAGCCCAGTACTCAGTAAGGGCACAGTACATCTGCCCCAACCAAAGAAACGGGGCCTGCCTAGCCAAGTAGTGATCGACCTGCGATTTGCTCAGTGTGATCCCCAGCCAGGAGCCTGCCTGCTCAGGGCTACAAGGAAGGGGAAGGTAGTGAAAGAGCCAGGACCCAGCGCCTTCCTCTCCCCACCTTCCTCTTTCCACAAGGTGGGCCATGGTTACTTATCTTATGTACTGCACAGCTTCCATTCAAAAAGAGTTCCACAGTTTTAAAAATATTTGAAAATTCCTTAGAGTATTTATCTGATTAGCAAAGTGTGCATTTATTAAATCTCAGCCTGGGGCATCTGGGATTTAGAAAGGTCTTAGCATGAAGTGCAGCCCTTTCTGCTGAATCAGTGAGTTTAGACCTAGGGATCCAGGCTCCGGTGTGTCAGCAGCTGGACCTGCAGTGCTGGGAACTGCATCCCTGCAGTGAATATCGTTCTTGGGTTCGGACCTTTAGGGTCGATCCGAGAAGAAAAAGCAGTGCTTAGGAGGTGGGGGGAAAGGAGGCGGTAAAGGGAGGCTTAAGGGAACCTTCTCCTTCACCCGCTGTTTGAATCATGAAATCAGAAGAGACTGGAAGACCCAGCGTGTGAGATGGAGGAACAGGCATTGGGCCTAGGCCAGAGGTGGCTGGTGTCAGCTTTGTGCCAGCCACTGCATGTACTGTGGCCAACCACACATCTTCTGGCCTCATGTCCTCCTTGTTGGGATGCTGCAGAAGGCCAAGTTTCTCACTTCACCTGTGCCTGTTGTTGGCTCTAAGCACTAAGATTTCAGACTGAGCTCAACCCTGCCCTAGAAAGCCAATTATAACATGCCTACAAACACTGAGAAATTGACTAAAAATGTACTCCCACTTTGTGTCATGGATTTTTAAAAATGGATTTCAGTTCATTAGCTCCTAGTCATGGAAATAAAGCATTTTTTTTCCAGTTTAAGAGGGGCTGGTCAAGGAACAACTGCCAATACTTTTCATTGTGTGTAATAGCATTAAGAGCTTAGGACTTTTGTTTTGTTTCCCTTTTCATTATCTCGTCCTGGACTGTATAAGTCAGAGAAAAATTTACTACTTCAAGTGCAGGGATAGTATGATAATTAGTAAGCATATTTTAAATACTCTAAGTAAAACCATGGAAGTTTAAATATATAAATAAGTAGAAAGGAATATTTGCCAAATATTATTTCATTAAGCTTCAACACCTTCATCAAACAAACTAAAATATAATCCCAATAGCTAAGGTTAAGTAACTAGTCAAAATCACAGAGAGAGTCTGTACTACACATTCATTATATATGTATGTATATTTGGGTACCAAGAGATGTTTACAACATAGAGAGAAATTACAAAAGTAATAATAAGAGGCTTGAATTAATCAAAATATAAACCATATACAGCACAAATCAAAGCTGTATTAATTTAAACTTTTAGGGAAACATTTAGGCTTCCTCTTCTGCATAATAAAAGATAATTTATAGTATTCATTTATCACTTCTTTTAAAAAACATAAACAGTTGTACTTTAAATTACATTTTGTGCATGTATTCACCATTTGCAAATATACACACATCTTACCTTATTTAACCTATTCAGAGTCCACTGTGCTTTCAGAGCCATATCAAACTTAGTCAATTTTCAATTGTTACAGTGGAGGTCTCTCCAAGCAAAAGTTTCTTTTCATCTTCTTTGTGTCATCATTATCACCTTATTGTTGTCACAGCCTCAATCTGCCCTTCAGCTCAATCTTGCAGAAGTTCAGAGAGAACTTTTGTAACTCTTTCTCTTCATCCCCTTGCCTGCCCTTAGACTCGGGAGCAGAACACACTTAGAGAAAGCCTTGCTTAAGAGAGGACTGCGCCATTGAAAGATGATCTCAAATATTACTCATTTTTTACTGGAAATGGGAAATCAAGAGAAGGGTAAGCAGGGAGCAGGACAAGGAAGAAGGACAGCTTCTCAGCCCCCAAGAGGTGCCACTCTGCCTCCATGAGAGAGGTCTTGGATGGAACTCCAAGAGCAGACAAACCCACAATGCAAATGTAAATATGTAGAGCCATTTCAAGGTGAATGTTTTTTGTATCATTTGGGGTTTTGGATTATTCATGAAATCCCAATATATGGTTGGGGATGTATTATATGGTTAGGGGGACAGAGCTAAGAAAAGCAATAGGAAGGGGAGAATTATTTGTGTTTGACTTCATTTCATATACTTTTGTCTCTGTCCTTTTGAGAACAAACTGAATGGATAGGAAGAGGCAGCTCCAAGTGTGCAATATGTGCGTCGGAATTGTACCTGTGGAAGTGAAGAAAGGTGTTCTCTTTGGTGTAGCCAAGATGACTGAAATGAATTAAAACTTCTGCAAATTTCACCTCCGGAAGAAAAAAAACATGAACCCTCAGTTTAAAAGGCTGGGTTTAAAGAAAGCAGGAGCAAGCCAGCAGCAGTTTTAGGCTACGAATAGAATAAAGTTCCAACTCAGCACAAACAGATGCTGGGAACTTAAAAAACAAAGTTGTGTTCATTGATTATGTAACTAATAACTTCATGAAGCCTGCTTAGATTTTAAAATGTCCACTTGTTACAGGTGTCCATTTGTGATAACAAATGGGGAAAAAAAAAAAAAAACCCACAAAAACAAAAAAGGTGTGTATGCCTGTGTGGGGTGCATGTGTGTTTACACGTGACTATCTCGCCGGTCCATCATGCCGAAATGAAAAAAAGATTTACGCCTTATACTGTCAGCGCCATCGGTGGGACCCAGCTCAGCAATCTGTGGGACTTCAATTGTCACATTGTACCTCCTTGTCACTCCTTCCCCCAGATCCTGCCCCCTCTTCTCCCTGCACCCAGCACACGCTCACGTGTACACACACACAGAGAGAGAGAGAGAGAGAGAGAGAGAGAGAGAGAGAGAGAGAGAGAGAGAGAGAGAGAGAGAGAGAGAGAGATGCGAGCTCAGCCCGCCTGCCTGGCTTTACCTCTGGCCCCGGGAGGATGCGGGCCGCCGCGGGCCCTGTCGCAGCCATCTGTCCCGGGCGGGCTGTCCTTCGGGCTCAGCAGACCGGGGCCCTCTGTGCTCTCAACAGGTACCATGGCCGGAGCTACAGCCCTTCCCTGCACACCGATCCGCCGCCACGGCTCCCCGCGACCGCAGTGGTCACTCTCCCCATGGCCGCATGCTAAAGAAGGGGAAGAAAGAAAAAAAAAGAAAAAAGGAAAAAAAAAAACTTCGGGCAAAAGCCAATGTGATTTGTGACCAACTTTGTTTCTATTTCCGAAGGCTTTGCCCTTTTCGGTGACACAGGCTGTTGCTATTCCAGGCAGCCTATCGCAGGCGGGGGGCGGGCCGTGGCTCCCTCCCAGCGCTCCTTGGGCCCGCCTTCATGGGCAGAGCCGGGCTCCAAGGGGTTAAAAGGCTGGGGGAAGAAGGGAGCTCAGACACCCCGAGTTTGGCCATTCAAGAGGGGCGGCAGCGCTGGATTCCTGCACCTTTGCAAAAAGGCGCAGATTCAAACGCTGCAGACAGCGAGTGGGGGCCCAGACCACTCACAGATGGTCTCAGTTAGCCTTGCAGAGAGAGGAGCACTGTGTGCCAACACACACCAGAAGGGAAAGTGTGTCGAGTTTGCAGCAAGACTGTTGTGTTTCCAAGAGTCATGACACTTACCAGTTTGCACAAAGCATGACACATCTGAATTGTTTCCACCTGATTTTACTGTTGAGGTGAATGCCGTATGGACTCTCTCCCTCTCCAAAGCCTGCCAGACCGATCAAGGCCCGAGACCAGGCATACATACACTCAGAACGCATACATCAGTGGTCGGCAAACTGTGGCTTGCTCACTTGCCACATGCAATCTTTGGCCCCTTGAGTGTGGCTCTTCCACAAAATACCATGGCCTGGGCAAGTCTATTTTGAAGAAGTATCCATAGAAGATGTTTAAGTTTTAAAAATATGGCTCTCAAAAGGAATTTCAATCGTTGTCCTGTTGATATTTGGCTCTGTGGACTGAGTTTGCCGACCACTGGCATAGATTATTTGGATTTCTTATTCCTTGGGATGATAGCAAAGTAATCCAGTTTACATCACGCACAGTTGTCTTTAAGAGAGGAACCGATCCTAAGTCTCTGCCAGGTTGTGCGATAGACTGACTGTAGGAGGAGAGGCCAGACTAAGTGCCCCAGGTGTGGGTGTGATGGACATATAATCTGAAACCAGATCAGGCCTTGAGAAAGAGGACTTCTTCCTGATTTGTGAGTATATTTATTGAAAATATCTTGCAGAGTTTTAGGATAGCTTGCCTGCAGCTATGTATTCACAAATCATATTTATTGGAAAATCTTGAGCAGCAATCAGAATTATTTTAGAAAACCATTAGGAGTGAAAACTAAAATTTATGGAGCCAGGAACTGTGATCAGAGTATGACTCTTTTGAGGAAAATGTGTGAGGCAGACACCTACATGACAGAAGAGTCAAGGCTGATAACTTGCCTGAAGCCTCCCAGCTAGTCAGTGGCAAAGCTGAAGCCATGAAGCCAGGTGGCCTAATGCTATCACTTTCCTATATGCTACATTCCCAGCCTTGTCCTTCTCTGATTTTCTTGGATTCCTTCACTTTTGGCTCATCTTGACCTTAAGAAGATGCCATGAAATATGGTTTGCTGACTAGGCATTCCTCTGGACAAATTTGTGCTGGTAGAGGCAAAAGCTAACCCACACAGGATTCACTTTCAGTATTTTGGCTGGATCATAACATAGCTCTAAATTAACATATCACCTGTACATTTCCTTTGCACATCACTAGATATTTTCATATCTTTCTTACTTTTTAGGGAATCAGGTAATAAATAAAAACAAACTTGTAACAACTCAACTAGTATTTATTATGCATCTTTTGTTTGTCTGGTAATAGTGCTTCCAAACATAGCTCAGTTCCCTCCTGATGAAGAAGTGAGTAGTTCAGAATCCCACAGATCAGCTTGTTCACACACACACACACACACACACACACACACACACAGTGTAATTCAATGATGCCTTAGATTTATTTGTGCCCAGAATGTGTGGCTATTGTAAGAGCAGCAGTTTTTATCTGTGAGACACATATTTCTCATGAGTTCTCCATATTTTCTTGGCTTTTATCTTCCTTCTGTTCAGAACTAATGACCTCAGCTGGGGGACATGTTCTTGCAATGAATCAGTGGTATAATTGTTTTGTTTTTAATTCCAGCTCTGAGTCTCCAGCAGCTTTTTGGCATCATGGAAGTATTGGGGTGTTTGCTGTAGTCTTTGGCTAGGCAAAAGATAAACCTAATTCCAGAATTCCTTACAATGGCGAAAAGCAATCCAACAATTCTTACTTTGCTATCCGTAGCCCAACTGTACCGGAACTCCTAAGGCATAAGCCAACAAGAAATCAGAAGGACTAAGCAACATTGCGACTGACTGGTCACAATGCCTCCTGGTGTACCAAATTCTGTTGACATTCCTTTGTTAGCCTGACTTGGACCTCTGGCTATCCCAGTCTCTGTTCTGTGCTGACTTTACTCTCTTAACTCAGAAAAAAAGTTTAGGGAGAAAATTGTTTTTACTCAACCTAGAATGGAATATTCTACTGTCTAAGTCTGTTTAAGAACATGTATTGCCCTTACACAGTCTTTTGCACATTTACAATGCATTTATTATAGTTATATGCAATGATTTTATTAAATTTTATTAAATTTACCTGACTTGCTAGTTAGTAAGATGCACGAGTGGGTGGGCAATGTGTATTTGATGTTCCAAGTGCCTGGCTCAGAGCAAATAGTAAGTATTTGTTGGCTAAAAAACCAACCCCTATGAATCCAACTAACTTTATCATTACCAGGATGTACAGTAAACTCCAAGACAACAGGCACACGTCTGTTATGTGCACTCACCCATATTGGTATCTCTACCTCTGAGAACAATACCAGGAATGTAGTAGACCCTCAATTCATATCTAAGTAAATGAGCACTTACAATGTAACCTTTAAGTGAGTTGAATACTTTTTTTTTTAAATATGAAAACCTAAATGAGGATTACTTATAATGCATTGTCCTTTCTCTCTCTCCTCCCTGTCAATCTCTTTAAAGTAAGTGTTACCACAGGCTGTCCCTCCTCCGTGGAGTTTGAGCCATTATCATCATTTAAAGCTATTCTTCCACTCAAGTGATGTATAATCAGCAGATAGTTCATCCGCCATGGCCTCATTAATTTTGATACATACCATTTATACCACTGGTTCATTGGCAATGCTATAAAATTCAAAAACACATATCGTTACATAAATTGAGAAGCCAGAAAGGAGGAAATGAGAGAGAAGGCAAGCAACTTCACATAGTGTGTGAACATCTATATAGCAAGCCTATTTTGGTGGCAGTTTTTCTTAAAATTCTCAATTTTGTGAAGTTACTGGAGAAATCAGTGGGTCCAATTTCCCTGACTCTAGTGAGAATAGGGTTCTTGTGATATCTTAAAAGTTTTTCTAAGACTTGCACAGGACAGTGAATGGTTTTTATTGGGGTGGAATTATATTTTTCGGTTTGCAAAATCTCATGTCTCTTAAACCAGTCCTAGAAAATGTGCAGCTGGGGCCCCAGCAGAGCCCAAAGTAGGATCAGTGTCCAGAGTTTCCCTTCAATAGAGGAGCTGGGTCTGATGTAACATCAGACTAGATTCATCCATTCGTCCATTGTGTGGGTCCCACATGGCTGTGAGCCACATGCATGAATCCTGGGGATTGTGCCCTTTGCAACAGGAGTCCCCGGAGTGTGGGCAAGGAGGGGAAAGAGAGAGAGAAAAGGGGTGGAAAGACTTCTTTGTTCAGGAGTTAAGTATCTCAGATTCTGCACCCTTACAGTGGCCACACCTATTCTGACCACTGACGTGTACCCAGATGTGACTGATAGATAAATATCTTGCCATGTCACCGAGACCTCACTGGGCATGAGTCTATTGTCCAGTCCCTTCCCTCAGTGATCATGGGAACAGCCTTGGAGAATGTTAACTGCAACTTCCTGGCAGAGTTGTATAAATGGCATGTCTGTATTGTCTAGTCTTCCTTTTACTCCTGTTCTGTTATTTAAAAACCAGTTATTATAACGGTATCACTATTGCCTCCATTTTGCAGAAGTTGAAACTTCAAAATTTATGGAACATACTTCAGCTCAAAAACCACTTTTCAATATTTGAAGCATGACAATTGTCAATCATCACCTAGATTCCATAATCAACATTTATTATGTGTGCTCTTTACCCAGCTACCGATATATAAATATCTCTAATCCATCCATTGATCCACCTTACTTTTCATGCATGTCAAAATAAGTTGAAATACTTTCGTGTGTGTATTATCAATTGGAATTCAATATATGTTTAGATTCTTCTTTTTCCTTTGTGGCATGAACTGCACGAATCTCAAGGGTATCCTTATACGAGTTCAGAGAAGTACATACATATGTAAATCCAAATCTCATTATTCCAGAGTGTTCCTTTATGTCTTTTCTGAGTAACTTTCCAGCTCAACCTCTAGAAGCACCAATGTTCTGATGAGTTTCCACATGGGTTACCTCTGCCTGTTCTAGCTCTTCACAGAATGGAATCAGAGTGTGTGCTCTTGTGTAAGGCTTCTTTCACTGAGCGTGATTTTGAGATTCATCCATGGTTTTGTGTGTATTAGTAGTTCATTCTGCTTTTATTAAATAGTATTCTAGGAGTGAAGATATCACAGTTTATTTATCCATGTTCCTGCTGATGGTCACCTGGGCTGTTTGGTTTGGGCTAATATAAATAAAACTGTTATAAGCATTCTTGTGAAAGTCTTTTTGCAGAACATACCATTTCAAAGCACAGCGGTCTAAGTCCATTTGATTCCAAAATCCACATATTTTTCTCTACACCCTGTTGCTTCTCCGTGGTGCATCCCATTGCACTGTTATGTAAAATGTACCTTCAGAGTTTTTATTCTAAAATGGTTCATTACAGTGTAAACACAACTGGGAAAATTTCCAGATATAAATTCAGCTCTTTATTAGCCACATTCCAATAAAATACTCCAACTGGTATGATTTTT